TTTTTAAATGAACTAGCAGTAAGTGTGTTCATATTGTGGCTGTACTAACCTAAATCCTAGGTACAAAACGAGCTCAACAACTTACACAAGTACACAAAACACAGACCAGTTCTCCTGCCTTCTATTTTCAGATAAAAATAGAAACTAAAGAAAGAGACGAGATTACCAGAATGAATTAACAAACAGCAACTATCGAGCAGTACTATACAACTTTTGTGTTTACGACCAGTAGTATGAAAATATGCATCCATAATGAAAAGAGTAAGCTACACGAGCACTATTGACTTGAGAGCCACCAGGGCAAATGCAAAATTTAGTTCTGTAAAATCTCTTGTGATACACCAAATGTCCAGTTGCCCTGTTAATTCTATTATTTGAAATATCAAGTTCAGTATCATTTTCCAATACTAGCGCCAGTATGACCCTGATCTTGGAATTCCTATGTCCTGCCCAGAAGCCAAGTGACGTCCTATTCTCTATGTCATTTCCTCCAGCTGGAAGGGCAAAAGGCTGAAGAACTTGTGGGAGTGCAACATCTTTGTGTGGTATAAATTAACAATCATAGCTGGGAGAGGAAACACGAATGGAATTTTTCACGAGATTTGGAAGACCTTCAGTGGCTCTCATTCCTACATCATGACAAGTAACAAAGAAGTGATCTGCACCCAAAGTCCTATTCCAATAGGGATACTTGTTCATCAAGCTCTCCACATAGTTTTGGACTATTACGGTCATGTTCTCATATGATATGCCCTTGCCTCGCATCTTATGACAAGAGATTGGGATAAAGAACAAATCCGCCCGATCCGGATCATCCATTGTGAAGTTACTCTCCCTGAGATTCTGAAAAACGTATCCTTCGCTGGCGTATTTTCCGGTAAGCTTTCGCGGCTTCTGGTAATAAGTATTCGGATCTCCATCTGAGTATATGTACACCTTAAATCGCCTCATCATCTCCTCATAATTCAATCAGAACACCTTGGGCAGATGGTAAACGTCGTCTTCCGCGTCATCACTCGGGTCTCGGCACTGTGAGAGGGGATGGTGTAGCAGAGGGGGATGATTGGAGAGAAGGGGAGTGCAGGGGTTTAAGGGGGAGGTAAGTGAATGAGAAGAGGGTTACGATAGAGTGAGTGAGAAGAGAGCTTCGGAGAGTGCATACTGCGGCGGAAGGCGGTGGCTGAGATAGTTCCATCGCCGACATTGCCGGGATAGAGCTGGTGGTTGCCGTCCCAGGAAGCCGAGGAAGTTCAATCCTATAGTTATCCCGAAGTCTCTGCAGGAGGCCCTGCCATTTGCATCGAAACCCAAGGATATACCTTCTAGAAAACGGGCATCGCTTGAAAATAGGAGAGCTGTGGTCATGGAGCCACATGACCGGAAAGTTTCAACAAGCGAAAAACTCAAGGAAGCTGCAAAGAGGAGGGCAAGATTTTTGATGCCGAGACAAACAATGATGATGATGATGATGATGATGATGATAGAGATGAGGACAGTGATGATGATGATGATGACAAAGATGATGTCAGCCCTACTGACGGCAACAAAAGTGGTGCCAAAAATGGATCTGGTGAGGAAAACGGTGAAGCTGAAGATGACGAGCAAGAGGAGCCGAACGAGGATGAAGATGATGACGATAATGAAGATGATGATGACGATGATGATAGTGGTGAAGATGATGATGATGATGATGAGGAGGAGGAAGAGGATGAGGAAGAAGAAGCCATTCAACCTCCCAAGAAAAGGAAGAAGTGAAAAAACTAACTGAGGAAGGAGTATTTGATATTTCAGGCTGCTTTTTGTGTTTTAAGTTGTTCCTTCCATGAATGAATGTTGTAGAACTCACAATTTGATTTCTATTTGAGAAATGCTAAAATTTCTATCAAATTTGGAATTTGTTGCGGCAACAAATCATAAAAGCATGTCGTGCTAGCTACCAAATAGGATACAAATGTGCCGTGCTATGAATAGTATTTATTCAATAGTAATCTCATCCCTAGGTGAATAGTGTTTAAATTTCAAATGCCCATTTATGAGTGATTTGGTAGAGAGCATCACTGTTAAAGGACAGAAAAATTAAAAAGAAAATAAATGAGTAATATGTAGAACTACACGTTAATCCAACAAGTGTTTCAAAAAGCATTAGACCTATATCAACAATCAATGCACCTCTTCCATTGACACCTTCACACTTAATTGTAGCGCACTTAATCATTTTCACTAATGAATAGTGTGAGGTTCATAATGTTATCAGCATAAGCATAGTTCATGACTATCATAAACCCACGAACCAAAAAAATGGAAATTTAAACACATAATATCATTATCATATCAACCAAGCCAGAAAAACTCCAAATTAACGTGATATTAACTCAATCACAGGCAAATATCGCCTTCATCCAGTTCAAGAAGCAATTCATTAATAGACCGTAGTACCAAGGACTGACAGCACATATGACTTAGCTCACATTTAACAAAGCAGAAAAATTGAATGTCTGTTCAATTTAAACCACCGAGTCCTACTTTGTAGGATACTGATGATTGCCTGATATTCTCTCCATCATCCTACAGTGACTGGCAATTCACGAGATAACTCCATAGAAATTCAAACATTCAAACTGGAGATTTACTCTCAGATTGATTGAGCAAACAAAGAAACAGATATATAATTTAAAATAATAATAAAAAAAAATCCTCAAACATCAAGTTTTACTATTCTTTTAATTATAAGTGTTCAAGAGTGATAATGCACCAAGCTGAGATTGCCCCAAGATCACCAGCCAACAGTATTGCATAAATCAAAGAAAAAGTTGTCCAAAATATAAAGAACACCGAACGGGTAAACTTGTCAACACCTCAACTAATTTGAAGGAGTTGACGAACAAGAAACCAGAAGCACGAAATTGTGACCAATGAATAATAAAGACACACAGAGAACCATCCATATGTATGTTCTTCAAATCCATGTTAAATATAAATACCAATTGCAACTCACACCCCAGGGAAGGCAACTGACTCAGAGGAGGGGTTGACAGATACAGATAACCCACTGGGCACTCGTACTAGAAATATGATGTTACCCTCTTAACAAATAAAGAAGAACTATCTAGAAGGCGGTGGCTGAGATTGTTCCATTGCCGGGATAGAGCTGGTGGTTGCCGTCCCAGGAAGCCGAGGAAGTTCAATCCTATAGTTATCCCGAAGTCTCTGCAGAAGGCGCTGCCATTTGCATCGAAACTCAAGGAGATACCTTCTAGAAAACGGACATTGCTTGAAAATAGGAGAGCTGTGGTCATGGAGCCACATGACCGGAAAGTGCATGCTATGGTTCAACAAGCGAAAACTCAAGGAAGCTGCAAAGAGGAGGGCACAAGAAGCGGAACGTGCAAAGGAGGATCAAATTTTGAAAAAGAGGCAGAGAGATGAAAGGCGGGGAAGATGCATTCAAGAGGAAAAACTGAAGAAGAAAATGCGTCTGAAATTAACACAACTTCTTGTGCCCCAGGCAGGCTCTATGTGATATTTGCTTGGGATAATATTCATTATAGTAAGTCTCCTGTATCATCATATGCCATTGAGCAGGGGAAGAACACACCTCAAAACAACTAACACTTTTTTCTTCAGGAGTGAAATACTTGTGCATAATGAGATGCATACAGTAAGTTTGTAGTTGTGGTATCTTGGAGAAGTAGTGCTTTGTTTGTTCATCAGAAATCTACCCAAAAAAAAAAAAAATATGTGTTTCCTTGTTGGATAATGTACCACCTAATCAGATACAAACAGCAACTCTATTCATGTTTTTAGGGGACTCAAATTTCACCCAAGCAACAAATATCAACAAATCTACACTGGTAGAAAATATAATCAAACATAGGGAAAATCATTAATCAATTAGAATGTAAACCACGAATTCAAATCGAAATCATAGGGAAAAAATAAAGGGCAAATCAAACCGTGTGAGCATTAACAGATCACAAAAAATTTGTATATTCTTACCAGATCTATATGAAGAATATTGATTATCGGCGAATATTGATAGGAATATTGATTATCGGCGAATATTGATAGGAATTTTTTTGAAGAGTTTTGGGCCGGGTTGGACTATTTATACTGAATTACTAATTGGACGGGCCCAAAATTTCGACCTAATCATTACTTACCTCGGGCTGGGCTGACTTAATAAAGTTTCATTTCTCTCTTATTCTTATAAGAAAAAATGAGAGCCCTTTTCAGTCTGACACGTGTCCTCATTTTTAGCCTGACACATGTCTACTTGTAAGCTTACAGAAAAAGTCCTTCATTTTGTTTTTTTATATGGTACATGCGATACGACATCGTTTAATATAGCTTCATTTTCAAGCTACAGATTTTTCACTTTTACGGGGCCCTTACCTCATCGATGTCCTACAAGACAAAACCCTTTCCATCTTCACGCTGTTTTTCTCTCGATTGACAGGCTCCATAATCGGTGACGATGGCTGAGACCTGCAGAACGCGCTCGTGAGCGATGGCAACCAAGGGCTTAAAGTGGATGGCGACAGCGCGACTAAACAGTGCGACGAATGGCCACTTGGATTAATGGAGACGACACACTGGTGAAATTCGCTGGCCCCCGACGGATATCGATGATTGTGTGGCCAAAGGCGGTGGCTCAGATCAGCGACTTCTCTACGGCCTGCAGTCTATTGGCGCATTGGAACTCTACGGATGGGTCGGCACGGTCTTCAGCGCCTGTCTTGTCTGCACAGCCATTTGGATCTCGAAGCTGGAGGCAGTTGCGGCTGACGGAAGATGGTGGGTTCCTACGGCTGTGACCGACTCGACAAGAGAGGACGACTGACCTACTTGTTAACGAACAATTTTTTACTCGCGCTTATCTTCCTTTTCATTGTTTGAAGGATTGGAAACGAGGCTACCTGTACATTGCAGGCCAAGAAATTTTGCCTGAAGAATCTAATTTGATAGATTGATTGTTTGTCCCTAATCTGTGAGTTCATATTGATCGTTACCAAGCTGATTTTTGTTATTGGGATTTGTTCTGTGCTGTCTTTATCTGGTACTACTGGCTGATATTCCTCTGTGTTTGGTTCATAGGCTAAATTTAATAATGTCTTGCTTGATTTCTGGTCCCCGTTGGTTTGGGTTAGTTGATTTCTTAAGTTATCAATTAGTATTTTAGCTCGCCTGGTAGTAATTAGTATCGATGGTTTTGATGTTTAACTTGATTTACCTTTGTTCTATATTCTACACATAAGGTTGAAGGATTGTTAGATTGCAAAAGAAGAGAATACAATTGTCATCAAACAAAAGGAGAGCTGGGTTCCAGATATTTTATCAGAGAAACTCGAAGAGCTTCGTGAACAGATCCACGAGGAGCGGGAGCAAGCTGTGTTTCATCACCTCCAAGAACAATCTGGCCTCATCCCGTAATTCCACATTCTCAAGGAGTAAATCAAGCAGGCTTTTCGAGAGTCACTATGAAATTCGACCGTAGTTATGATTTTTGCAGGCGAGGATAAACAAATCGAATTGAAGGATAGATTACAAGGATGAAGAAACCCTAAGCCTATATTCAAAGGGCCCAGAAAGAGGAATTTCCTGCTTCTGAGTCCTAGAAGAGCCCGAACTCCCCGGCTTCGCCAAATCTGTCGTTGCTCTTGATGTTTGTCGTTGAAGCAATTGCGACAGTGACGTCCGTATTTGGCAGTGGTGGAGGACTGCTTGTCGCTGCCATTGAACTTACGTGAGCGGCGGAGGTCCTATGCGACAGATATTCAAGGACTTGCTCAAAGTCCTTGAGGCAGGTATTCAACATGCAACTACTCTATGCATTTTTCTTTNAATTAAGAATCTGCTTTGTTGTGTAGGTATCGTTTGCAGCCAAAGCATATGAAGAATTTTTTTGACTATATACAGCTCCCATATTTTGACATTGCTTCTGATGCTGCTGCTACTTCTAAGCTTTTTTATTTCCACAGATATTGAGAAAAATACTATCCAGCTGCTCCATTGCTTTTCAAAGCTATTATTTGATCCTTCTATTGGAAGAGTGATTTGGAAGTATCTTTAGTAATAGTGGGTTGCATGTATGCAAACCTTTTGGAGTACTGTTAATTTATTTCTCTTTCAGTGACTATTATCTGGAATGTTGTTGCATGTCAGCACTTAGGACCAAAAGTTACAATTTACCTTTTAATTTAGATGCTTCAGACATCTGGTTTCTAAGAACCAGTCTGAAGTCATTTTGGTAATCTAAGTCAAGGGAATTGTTTATTGAAAATTTATAAATAATTGACATACTTGAGTGCTTAATCCGTAACAGAAGCAGCCATGTGTGTTAGATGATTATTTTGTGTTTTTTTTTTTTCTTTGAAGATGCGTTATAGTGTCTATTATGGCTTGTACTATGCTAATGTAATGTAATTTGCTTATCTTGGTGCAGGATATATTGACTACGCAGAAATCAACTGCAGCTGATTTTCTCTCTAATAATTCTCACGATTAAAATTGTGTTTGATTCTACTCTAGAGCATTTTCTTCTTATTTAATACATTTTCTCCTACGAACCATTAAATAATATAGATCTTGCACCGAGTATTAAGTGCTGCTTTAGAATGCCAAGATAAGCCCCGTTTCTCTAATATGCTAGATAGTTTTCACTCGATAGTTCTTTGCAGGGCATAACTCAAAGCTCCGCTTTAATCAAACAATTATATCACTGGAAGCATTCTGTCAAGGTAATGCCTATGCTTATTTATCTCCATTTGTTTCTTTTAATTTGGGAGTTGAGACCATTTACTTGTCCCCCTCTCCCCCAAATAAAATTATCTAGAAAAATTGAAGCAAGAACATGTGTCTGTTAACTTATATTCTTAATTTTCGTTCTTTCGAATGTTAATTCTTCTTATGTCCATGATGTACTTGATCAGTTGTTGGGACAACCCCTACAGGATTTTAATGAATCTTCTCAGAGTATGATTTCCTTTTCGTTGTTAATTTTCAATCTCCTTTTACCTATTACCACTGAAATTTCGAAAAATAAACTGAAGCGTGATAAGAAATAATGGAAAATGTGGCGGCTAACATGACAAAGATATGTATCAGATTCTACTGTGAATTGAATGTCATTTGACAAATATAAAGATGCAGGATGCCTCCCTTCTGAAAACTTTTATCGAAAAAGTACACGATTAAGTGTGTGTTGTGAATCTTGGTTTCTGACAGGAATCGAGCAAGTGCATTCAGGTTGAAGCATTCCACATTTTCAAGGTCATGAATTCTACTTCTAAATCTAAACCTCCTGTAAGAAAGTTGATGAATTTGTTGTGACCGTCTCACTATTTCATCTAAACTAATCAGGAACTCAGCAGCCAATTGGAACAAACCCCCAGAGGTTATCAATATCCTTGCAGCCAATAGAAGAAAACTTCATCGCCTTTTTGCTGATTTTAGATGGATAGAGGTAGTAAATGATATATTACATAATTACACAGGCACGTACATATATGAATATAAGTCCAATTTTTTTCGTTTCATTTTCAGCCACATCTGTATATTTGGTTCGGTTTGGTTGCATAGGATGAACAGTTTGAGGTTGTTAAATGGCAAGTCATCAAAGAAATTGCTGAGCTTGAGGCCAGAGAGCAACCATGAAAATTTGAGTTCCAAAAACTGCTAAAGAAGGTTAAGGTAATTATTGTTTGTGAAATAAATGTAATTATTAAATTGGCCAACAATAGAGATTATAAGTAATCCACAGTTATTTATGATCTTCTACCTAATATTATCGAAGATTGTACGAGGTCATTCTTAGGGCCTAAATCTTAAAATATGATCTCCTACCTAATATTATATTAGTGCATATTGAAGTACATGTTTATAATATGGACGAAGATTGTACGAGGTCATTCGTAATTTCGTACAAGATCAAAAACTTAAAATGTTGTTGCAAGGCATCCGACTTCTCCCAAGAGTATAATGGGGTGTGCCTGCAAATGAAGATGTAACGCAATCCGACTGCCCATTTTTTATCTTTATTGTCCAGTGGACTGATTTGCAGGTGCTCTTGGGCTGTTGACAATAATAATTCATAATGTTAGCCCTCGTTCTGCTTAATGTTCTTAAAAACCTTTTCAGCGTAAATGGCTCATGTTTCTCCCATATAGTAAATGCAATCAAATTTTGTAAGGTATAGGTATATGTTTATGGCACGACAACTATGTCAACTCATGAGAGAAAAGCCAGCATTCAGGAACTCTGGTAATGTTACTGGTTCATATATTTGGTTAAACATTTTGTAAGAAAATGAATATCGGTTCTAAAAACTATTTGGTCATGTCTAACTATTATTTTACCATCTCTAATGCTGGTTAAAAGTTGTTTCACAGATACAGGGATAAGAAAAATACGGGCAATGCTGGGAGCTAAACATTGGGAGGGAAAAAGAATGTAGGATTTGCATGGAGATGAACATCAACATATCCTCCCATACTGTAACCATGCCATGTGCTTAAGATGCTATAAAATTGATCTAATCCCATTTTTCTAACATTAAGTATTAGGATTGCCTTTTATGTTCGACAGGCTTTTCAGCCAATATGGCCTTTATGACAACGGTTAGAAATGTTAGAATTGCACCTATATTGGTGAATTTTAACGTACCTTTCACGGTAACAATCTATGTATGTGTTCGACACTTTTCTTTTTTTATATTATAAAAATGTAATTAAAATTAGTTAATTAGCTACTTCATATTTGTTATATTTTGTGTTCCTTTCTCAAATTTTACCTAGCTTTATGTTATTGTAATAGACGAATCAATTTAATGTACTTTAACTTTCATTTTACACTTTATTTTATTTTTCTGTAATAATGTATTTTGACACATTCGTACAAGATTTCTTTATCAGACATACTTCATTATTACAATTATTAATTGAAAATTTTAATTAAATAAAACTATGAGAGGACTTTTATAAAATATGAAGTACTCATAAGAGAAATTTTAGACTACAAAAATCTACTTGCATCTGCAAAACTCATACTCAGTAACCTAATTACCCTCAAAGTTAAAATTTAATGTTTGTTACAATGTACCTTCAGTGCTAACCTACTATAAACTAACGAATTATATCAAGTTGTTTTGTAGTTGAATTTTAATATTGTCCGACTTTTATCTTTCAATTATGGGTTGAGACGTTAAATTTCTTTTTTACTTCCAACGTTTCAATTCACATTTGAATGATAAAAGTAATTTGTTTTTTTTGTTACACATTACAAAAATAACTAATAGTAAGATAACTATATATTAAAATTAATACTTAATCAACAACATAATTTCACAACATAATATATAACTAATTATAAATTAATTACGTACTTAATTTTAACAAAAATTGGGTCGGCTGTGCTGTGCACAGCCGGTATCAAACTAGTAATAATAATAACGTAACATAAATAAACATGTGACTATACTTACCTCCGCCATTGGCAGCGGCGGCGGCGGCGGCGAACGGAGATCTACGGACGGCGAAGACGGCAGAGGTGGCGCCTGTGAACACGGCCCAGACTCTTGCAATGGTCCCTGAATTGGAACACAGATTATAATTAGAAAAATACAAATATACATAACTGTGTACGTTATAGTAAGAACAAAGGTCTTGCTTGAGGCTGAGCCGATGATGACGGTGGAGACGGAGGAAGGGCGGGTGGTGGCGGCCGGAAAAATCAGAGGTGGAAGAGGGCGTCCTCCCTGAGCTCTAGGGACAAGGTCTCTCATTTTCTTTTTTCGTTTTTTCTTTTTTCTTTCTCTTTTGCAACTGACTAGGTGTGGTGGCTTTTGGGCTCCCAGCCTCCCATACACGTACACATATATAGAGAGAGAATGTGGTAGATTAGTAGTACCATTTTTGAATTTGTGTTTTTGTTTAATTTTTGCATGTAAAACAAAAGTGTTATTCGTTTCGCATATAGAGAATATGGTACAGGTAGTACCATTTTTTGAATTTGTGTTTTTGTTTTAATTTTTGCATTTAAAACAAAAGTGTGTTATTCGTTTGGCTGGTTTATTTATTTTATAATGATATGGGCAAAATTGTGCATTTGTGAAAGTGTATACTATTTATTGGACAATATGATATGCTCGTGTATAGTTTCAATTAAGTCCCATATAATTTATGTCATTTGATATCTTACACATTTTTAATGTTGAGAGAAGGAAAATTTAATGTGGTCATATGTATGTGTGTATGGATATATAAAACTCCAAACAAACTTAATTGTTTGCCACGCAGTACATTGTAGAACCGTAGACTGTACAGATGCAGCAGGGTTTGTTTTACCATTTTTAGCACAAACAGAAGATT